CCCTGTACTGTGTGTTGTCTTTCCCTTCACCAAAGTTAACACTTGTTTACTATCTAGTTAGTGATTTCCCTTCTCTGGCCTTCCTCTCCCACATGACCATCAAAGATTGTTTTTTTTCTGTGTGTAAACCTTTTCTTGGGTTTTTATAATAGTGGTCTCATACAGTATTTGTCCTTTTGTGATTTACTTATTTCACTCAGCGTAATATCCTCCAGATTCGTTCATGTTGTGAGATGTTTCAAGGATTTATCATTGTTCTTTATCATTGTGGAGCATTCCATTGTGTGTATGTGTACCGTAATTTGCTTATCCATTCACCTATTGATAGGCATTTAGGTTGTTTCCATCTTTTTGCTATTGTGAATAATGCTGCAATGAACATGGGTGTACATATGTCTATTTGTGTGATGGCTCTTATTTCTCTACGATATATTCCGAGGAGTAGGATTGCTGGATCATATGGTATTTCCATTTCTAGCTTTTTAAGGAGTCACCATATTGTTTTACATAGTGGTTGTACCATTTTGCATTCCCAAGAGCAATGCATAAGAGTTGCAGTCTCCCTGCAGCCTCTCCAACATGTGTTATTTTCCATTTTTTTGATTAGTAGCAGTAATTTAGGGGTAAGATGATATCTCATTGTAGCTTTGATTTGCATTTCTCTAATGTTTAATGATCTTGAGCATTTCCTCATGTGTCTGTTAACTGCCCGAATGTCTTCTTTGATGAAATGTCTGTTGATATCCTTTGCCCATTTTTTAATTGGATTATTTGCCTTTTTGTTGTTGAGGTTTTGAAGTTTTCTAGAGATTTTAGAGATTAGATCCTTGTCAGATGTGTGGCAGCCAAAATTTTTTCCCCCAGTCTGTAGGTTTTCTTTTTACTCTTTTGGTGAAGTCCTTTGATGAGCATAAGTATTTTGATGAGCATAAGTATTTAATTTTTAGGAGCTACCAGTTATCTAGTTTATCTTCTGGTATTTGTGCATTGTTAGTTATGGTTTGTGTTGTATTTATGCCATATGTTTGGGTCCCTAGCATTGTCCCTATTTTTTCTTCCATGATCTTTATCATTTTAGGTTTTATATTTATGTCTTCAAGCCATTTTGGGTTAGTTTTTGTGTTTGGTGTGAGGTATGGGTCCTGTTTCATTTTTTTACAAATGGACATCCAATTTTGCCAGCACCATTTGTTAAAAAGGCTATCGTTTCCCAGTTTAATGGACTTTGGTCCTTTGTCAAACATCAGCTGACCATAGGTGGATGGATTTACATCTGAGTTCTCGATTCTGTCCCATTGGTCTTTGTGTATGTTGTCATACCAGTACCAGGCTGTTGTGACTACCGTGACTGTACAGTAGGTTCTGTAATCAGGTAGTGTGAGGCCTCTTACTTTGTTCTTTTTCTTCAATAATGTTTTGCTTATCCAGGTTCTCTTACCTTTCCATGTAAAGTTGGTGATTAGTTTTTCCATCTCATTAAAAAATGCAGTTGGTATTTGTATTTGTATTGCATTGCATTAATATCACTTTGGGTAGAATTGACATTTTTACAATGTTGAATCTCCCTACCCATGAGCATGATATGTTTTTTCATTTACGTAGGCCTCTTTTGGTTTCTTGCAATAATGTTTTGTAGTTTTCTTTGTATAGGTCTTTTACGTCCCTGGTTAGATTTATTCCTAAGTATTTTATCATTTTAGGGGCTATCGTATTGTTTTCCTGATTTCCTTTCTGAAGTTCTGTATATCAGTGTATAGCAATCCAACTGATTTTTGTATGTTGATCTTGGATCCTGCTACTCTGCTAAATCTTTGTATTAGTTTCATAGTTTCCTTATGGGATCTTTACCATTCTGTATGTATAGGATCATATCATTTGTGAATAGGGATAGTTTTACTTCTTCCTTTCCAATTTGGATGCCCTTTGTTTCTTTTTCTTGCCGTATTACTCTAGCTAGGACTTCCAGCACAATGTTTTTTTTGTTTGTTTGTTTGTTTTAAGTCTGTCTGCATAAGCAGTCTACTCCATCCTTGAAGGTAAAGACTGTGGCTTCTTCATCTTTGATTCCATAGCAGATAATCCAGGGCCAAATACAGAGTATGTGTTCAAGCAACTAGATGTAAAATAAGTAAGTAAATTTTATGATAATGGTGGTGATGAGTGTGGTGGTGGTGGTGAATTTACAGAAAAATATAATAGGATAAGATAAAATTGTAGGTGTTATTAGGAAACATCTATAGTTTGAGAATAAAAAATAAATTATATACCCACATTTGTAGATTAAAGAGGAGTGTGTGTGTGTGTTTAATGCACATTTACAAAAACTTACACTGGTTGGAGAGAGGTTCAGGTTGAGGAGGGAAAGATATACTATATTTCTTCAAATCTATCATATCATTAACTATAAGTTGCATCATTATTTTGTATATTACTGGGAAAATATTGCCAAATAAATGGTGGCCTTTCTTATCTCTTAGAATTTTTATTTGATACTTATTGAATGACCTCACTTAGACTTATTTAATGATAGATGTCCTTTATCATAAATTACTCTTGTATATACATACTAAAAATAAAATAAAATAAAATAAGTGAAATCAAAAGGCTAAGGCATTCCTAAAACTCCTTTGCATTCAGAGGCTTTAAGACACATCTCAATTTCAGATATGTTGAAGTATAAAAAAGAAATGTTGTTTGAGAATCAATGAAATATTTTATTAAATGTATCCACAGGATATAAGTAAGTATATTGCAAAAACCAACACCCAACTATTTTACTAGGACTTGAGGGAAAGCTATGGATCTCCAGTATTCTGAAATGATGATAGGAAACTAACTTGGACTTTTTACACACAATCAACTGTAGAAAACCAGTGTCAGAGAAAAGCTTTATGGATGTTGACTAGTACATTTGCCTTTCTGTAGCAGGAGCTGCCGCGTGGGAGATCAAGGGGAAAAGGGAAAGAAAATACTATGATAGTGGGTATCTAATTGATGTACAGACTTGAAACCCCAGGATCAGGTTTTAATTTCTCCTGGCAGATGATTAAGAATTAAATGCTCAGAGATTAAGTTATAATTACAATATTTAACCCTTATTATTGTTTTATCTGTCTCTCAAAGCCAAGGAGGAAATTTAAATTTGTATGCTAAGAGCTTCTGCTTGGGATCAACATCTTTTATAAAACTCATTGCTGGGCTATCTGTATGCCTCATTTCATATAATAAAGCTTCTAGTCATAAATGTAAACAGAGTTCTTAACAATTTCCAGAACAGGTTCTGTGAGCCTACAACAAAGTCAAGTCTGTCAAAAGTGTGTGTTTGAGCAGAGTGGCTAAAATTAAAATAATAATAATAATAATTGGCTTATCTTTGCTATGAACAGAAAATGTGATTCATATTCATGTACCTTTTATGTATTGCTTTCTCACATTTCATCTCTGTACTACTCTTGTGTTCATGTTCAGATCATTCATATTTTATTTTGAAACATTTTCATTTTCAGATCAGCAGTTGTGTGATCCTGGTGAATTTCTTTGCCACGATCACGTGACTTGTGTCGCCCAGAGCTGGCTGTGTGATGGGGACCCTGACTGCCCTGATGATTCAGACGAGTCTTTAGATGCCTGTGAGTAGAAAGGTTCTCATGCCATTCAGATTTACCTTACATGTGAAACTGTATGTCACTTGTTTTCACGGATGACTGCTTTTCTGGTTGATTCTTTTTTCCCCCTCCAAATAGTCTAAGAAACCTAAAACCTTTTATTTGTTTTTTCCTTTAAAATGAGTATGTGAATGAGACTATAAAACACAGTTTTATGGTATGAATTAACTTATGAAGGGAAGAAAATGGAAGGTTAATTATTTCAATGTGATTGTGATAATACTAGAAAAAAATCACTGGAAGAAGAAAAAACTATTTAAAACATAGCACTAAAAGGGTAAGACCAGTTATAATAATTTATTTCACACATTGTAAGACAGAAAGAACATATAAAAGGAACATAAAGAAAGCAAACTTTAGATATATTTCTATTAATATCTTAATGTACTACAAAAATAATTGAGCATGTTTTCTTTTGAAATTAAAAGATAGAAACCTTATCTATCTTCCCATATAAACTTGGACTTTTGCCTTTATAATATCAGATTTGGGAGCCTTTCAGATATGGATCCTAACTGAGTCACATTTCTATATCTGACTTGTAGTCTACCAAGGGCTGTGCCCACACTAAAAATGTCTCTATAACAAAATTATAAGTAAAAATATGGCCACAGATAAATCTGCCATGCTTTTTTAAAAATATGCACTATCATAAGGCATATAATTAGTCCACTAAATCTTAATATTTATATTCCTAACACTTCCAATAGCTTCTGCTGTAACCAGGTATGCAGTGTATCACTATCAGCCTCAAAGCAACCACATAGTTTTGTGAGGTCATAGGGAAAACAATCCGTCATCCTTACTGCTTGATATTGTGGATATAATAATTATTGGTTATACTTTCCCTTTTTATCTACTTGTTTACAAATCTTGCAGAAAGGACCACTATAAGCTCCAATGAAAACCTTTCCTTTAGAAAGCAGAGGCAATAGGTATTAATTTTCTTTATATTTGATAGTCTTTTTATAGTTTTTCAACATGTGAGTGCTTAAATGTTTGCATTAATTGCTTCTCTTCCCTTTACTTTGAACAGAATCACTCCTTCCAAAGGAGACTATTGATTGCTACAGTTCTAATTTTCAACAATTTAATTCTGAAAATATTTATAGACTCCCTATAGGATAGACAAGGTTCTAGGCATGCTAAGACAGAAAAGAAAGGAAAAATAATGAATAAGAAAAAAAAATGCTAGTGAATAAATAAAATGTGGTATATCCATACAATGGAATATTATTCAGCAATAAAAAGGAGTGAAGCACTCATACATGCTACAGCATGGATAAACCTTGAAAAAGGAAATAAGACAATCACAAAAGACTCCATATTGTATGATTCCATTCATATAAAATGTTCAGAATAGCCAAATTTATAAGGATAGAAAGTAGATTAGTGGTTTCCAGGGACTGAGGGAGAGGGATTGGAGGGAAAGGGGACTGGCTGCTAATGGCTAAGGGATTTATTTTGGGTGTGAAGAAGATATTCTAAAATTAGATTGTGATGATTGTTGCACAACTCTGGATATGCTTAAAAAACTGTATACTTTAAATGAATGAATTGTATGGTCTGTGCATTATATCTTAATAAAACTGTTTAAAATGGGAAAATAAAAGCAAAATCTCAATATTGTGCCTATAGGCACAGATGGTATAATAATAAGAAAAGACTAAAACAATAATAAATGCTCTGGCCATGAATTATATGTGTGTGTGTGTGTGTGTGTGTGTGTGTGTGTGTGTGTGTGTAGCGGGATCATATTTCTATGTTATTAACTCTTTTTAATCTTTATTCTTCCACTATTCAAGTATAATCTATGAATTCTCTCCTCATTAGCCAAATGAAAGACTGCTATGACATAATTATAAAATAAAAGTCAGATTCTGGAATGTTGGTGGTAGGGTCTTGCATTCTGTCCTGTTGCTCCCACTAAATCTTTGACCAGAAAAATGACAGAGACATGAAGATAGATTTGTGGAATCCATCTACTGGTAAAGGTCAGGTTTAAGGGGAAGCAGCTTAGAGTTGTGAGCCTGGCAGGATTCAAAACAGCAGGGAAGAAATGGCTGCATGTCATGTCTAGGCGAGAGTTCCCTTCATGCTGGTGAAGAAACAGAGAAAAATGATGTTTCATTTGTGCTGAACACAAAGATCAGCAAGGGTGTGAGACTAGAGGGCTTTTGTGGTAAAGAAGGGGAAAAGGTAGAACAATAACTGAAGCCCAGACAGGAAAAAAGACCTATCAGTAAATGTCAAAGGGAATAGACGATAAAGATTCTACCCTTCCATGCCCACTCAATGCCTGTAGCAACATGACTGATACCCAGCGGGTACAGAACAGTGGACCAGGACTGTTGTGGTATCCTGCTGTAGATACCACACCAGTGGACCATCTACCCTGATTGACTGGGCATCTGCTCTGAATGTTGGGTGCCCCTACCACAATGATTGTAAAATACTTTGAATATCCACCCTACCCAGAAGGTAGACACTATCTTGGGTTTGGGAAAAGCAGTGGGTCCCTCAATTCATGGAAGTTAGGGTTGTTAGCAGACTGAGGCTTCAAATTAGAAAGTACATTTGAGTTAATTAAAAATAGATACATTTTCTACCTGCTTAGTTTGTAAAATAAAATTCATACCTGCTCAAGATATTTTTGACATTTTTAATTATATAGTCATTTTCCTCTCCAATAAAATTTGATGGATTTAATTAAAAAACGTTTTATCGTTCTGGCCATTCTAACATCAAAATTGTTGATTATCCTTAATAGCAACACTAAAACTATTCTTATATCAGTGTAGCCACATAACAAGGACAGACAAATAATTATTTTTCTACCTGAGTGTTCAATCTGGGCAACATATTTGCATCGACATTTAATTAGCCTGTTTCACATAAGTGGTTTCAGTCAGTACCAATTGAAATCTGGATGGGCATAGAAAAGAAAGCTTTATGAAAAATATCAGACTTTTTCAAATTTAAATTTCTCAATCCAGATGTTCATAATTACCATTTTCCCTAATCACAGTGCTTTGTAATGTGTTGTTTTATGCTATTCTTATGGAGTCATAATGGATCTACATAAAATAATTGCATAATTTTATAATTACATGAATGTATACATCCAGCTTGAAAGATAAATACCAGAAATTGAAAATCTTAAAGATTTAATTCTTAGAAAGGGCAATTTTGTGCTCATTGTGTGAACTAAAATATGTTATCATCTTTGATTTGAAGACAAAGTATGTTGTATCTACAAAATATTAGATGAAAACAGCTGATTAAATATACTTATTTTTTTCCTAAATCCATTTAATCTTTAAAATGACAAGAAGACCAATCTAGCATAGAATTTTGTTATGACATTGTGAAGACTCTGAAGTGACAAAATTTTACCAGGAAACAAACATATTGCTGAGGATGTGGAAAAGCTTTACTTGTGAAACATTGGTGACTGAAATGCTTTAAAAGATAAATATACATAAAGGAAAACAAGATATTATGGAAATTATATAAAATTGAGATAGTTGAGAATATAAAAAGTTAGTTTTCCTTCTCTTCTGTGATTGTTTAATCATCAAGCTCAGGGGGTAAATTCTAGTTTCCACGAGGCAGTTGTTAAGATTCCACTGACAGCAGCAATTCATGATGCAGAAAGACTGTTGCACGAGGTAGATTTACTACTGACCTCATTGCATGTTGAAATGAGTTATTTAAATATGCAATTGAAGAAATTTAATAAATATGTGCTTACCAATGAATATGAGATAAGTATCTTTAGCCCTATACTGAAAACAATCTTTTTTTTCTGCACATTATTTGAAATAGTTTGTCAAGTGTCTAAAATACTGACTGACACTATATTTGGGTCATCTGAGGACACAAGAATAGAAAATCAGGGAAATTACCATCTTTCCTCTCAGTACCTTCAATCCAGTGTTGTTTTTCTAGTGTGGCATGTTTGCAGAGAATTAAAGTGACGTATAGAAATGTTTATCTGTGGAATGAAAGCTTGGTCCCACTTGTGGCAGGGAAGTGTTCTTGACAGGCACTTTTATTCTGAGGCATTCAGAATTGAATTCCTTCTAGGATTTTCTGCTGAACACTTAATGATGTTGTTATACTTAACACTAGATTCTACCTTTGTAAGTCACGAAGGTATTAGCTATGCTATTTCCCCTTCTTCTCTTTGGCCCTGCACTATTCTCCTTTAGAAAATCATTTATAGAACTCTTCAGTTCTAGGCAGTGTTTCAGATATAATGACTCATTGGCCAACAAAGCAGAATAAACATTTCCTTATGGGAGCATAATATTTGCAACCTGGATAGTTGTTGGGACAATTTGCACGTTGTTTCCACCCTGTTCTGTTCTTACCACTGCGCCACTAGGACTCCGTTCTGTTCTTTAGCATGAGTCAATAAACTTTTTTTCTGTAAAGGTTTAGTTAGTGAATATTTTAGGCTTTGCAGGCCCATAGGATCTCTGTTGCATGTTCTTTATTTTTGTTGGTTTGTTTTTGTTGTTTTTTGCAGTGCTTTAAAACAGGGAAAACATTCTTAGCTTACAGTCTGCATAAAAACAGTCTGCCAACACATTTGGCTCACAGGCTGTAGTTAG